GCCGAAGTGCTACTTGTGCGAAGGGCCGCACATATTGCGACAATGCCCCAACAAGAAGACCATGAGCGCCCTTGTGAAGGATAAGGGCAAGGGCAGGGTGGACGATGCGGGCAGCGATGAAGATAGGTGCATGGGGGCTATGCAGATGCTGAGTAGCATGGCGCATGACACCAAGAAGAAGGGCAAGGCAAAGAAGGTAGCTGGGGTGCGCTATGTGGATGCGCAGCTTGGTGGCAAAGCCGTGCAAGCGTTGGTAGACACGGGTGCTACACACAACTTCATTACCCCGGAGGAGGCGCAACGACTTGGCTTGGAGATGCGCAAGACGGAGGGCTGGATCAAGGCCGTCAACTCCGAGGAGGCACGCGTGAGTAGAGTGTGCAAGGAGGTGGAGCTATGCATGCAAGGATGGAAGGGCAAGGCTGACTTCCAAGTTGCGGAGATGGACGACCACGACATGGTGCTGGGGCTGGAGTTCATGGACAGGAACAACGCCGCGCCACTACCATGCCTTGGTGCGTTGATGATACTTGGAGGCGAGGAAGGCAAGGCCGCATGCATGGTGCCGCTCGTGGGCAGGAAGGAGAGTCCAGAGGTGGCAGTCAACACGATGGAGCTCGTGAGGACTTCACATCTCCCGAAGGGCGCTCGTACGTTTGGGCCAAGGACATATGCGCAAGTGCTGATGACCTGCGAGAGGCTGGGTCAGCTAAAGAAACCGTGACGAGGGCGTCACGGAAATGGGTGGGGGAGAATGTCACGCCCCGCCTATGGAGGTTATGCCACGCAGGCGACACGCAGACGCTGAGGAGGACGCTGCATGGCAACTGCATGGCAAGTGGAGTTTCTAGAGTCTTCCGGAATAGTCTAGAGTTATGTGGAAGTTTCTAGATATGTGTAGAAATGTGTAGAAGTGTGTGGAAGGTTCTAGAGTACTCCAGAGTTGTGTGGAGTAGTATGGAGAATTCTAGAATGTTGTAGATACTAGTAGATAAGTATGGAAGTGTGAAGAAGGTGGGAGAAGATTCTAGATAATCAATCTCCACCGTTGGTTAGAATGCATCCTAGCCGTCCATTAGGGATGGGGATGCCTATAAATAGAGGTAGGACTTCATTTTGTAGGCAACAAGTCCTAGAGTGAGTCTTGAGAGCCTTGTAGAGAACTTGAGTGCTAGCCTTGTACAAAGCATTCTTTGAAGTAATAGAAGTGTTTTTTCCTTGCCAACTTAAGTGCCTTAGTGTGTGTGAGTGTGCAAGCCAAGTGAGGAGAGGGCAAGGGCAACTACAACACTAGTAAGCGCACGAGGGGAGTGTGTTGGCTAAGGTGTGCACGGGAGTTAGGCTGACCAAGTACTTGCGAGAATGAAAGCAACGTCTTGGTGCCGCACGGGAGCAGCTAGAGTGGTGCTGAAACTCTAAGCCCGTGACAAAAAGCTAGCTTTTCCGGAAGCTCTTCTTTGATTCCATTTTCCATTCTATTCAAGAATCGCTCTGCTGTCATATTCATAAAAATAACATTTTATAAGGAAAACATTTTAACATCCGACAAAGATATTTTTCTCCAAAGTAGGACTATTTTAAGAAGCAATATTTAATTACTTTTATTTAAAGTATTAAGGGTGGGTTCTACTGCATAAATTTGAAATTAACGAAATTTTTAGTTTAATTTTCTGAATTACTTTCCTCCAATATTCAAATTATAAGACTCCAATTTTATGTAGTCAAACATAACCTAAAAGCTATCTGGGCTTGGAACAACAAAAAGATTTGACATTTGTTTTAGTGTTTTCCTGTGCTAATTCAACTTTATTAGCATCCCATCAAGAATTAAGATTTTTCATTTTTATCCATGGTTCTCAAGAGTTTACTACATTAATAAGCTTACTATGGCAACTAGATTAAACCTTTAAACACTTTTATTCAATTTTTACATGTCAAAAATTTTATTCATTCATCTTGTTTGATTCTCTTAACAAATTTGTTGAGATGTCTGAAAACTTGTCTTATCTAACCAGGTTGTATAACATTATTTTCTAAAAACAAGCAAAGTATAATAAATTCCACTAAATTTCCAACCTGCAAGGCAATAGCTCGTTGCATCTTGTGATTTTTATTCATCTTTCATGGGAACTTACTAGGATTTGACAAAGAATTTATGAAAAGGCTTTGAAAAAGAAAGTATCACTCCAAGAGTTTATGAATGAATTAAGATTAAAGGATACGGTTTGGTGGTACTTTCTCATATTCTAAAATAAAATGTCAAGAGTGTTTAAATCCTAAAGAAACAGATAATAATAATAAATTAATTAAAAAGTTCATAACGAGTGTTATCTCATATTTGTCTGATAAAGAAATGGAGAAAGTTTGTTTCACTTTAACAACATCCATCCTATATAGAAGAGACATAAACAAACTTGCAAATTACGATAGATTGAAGTCTTTATTTACATAGTTGCGTTTAATTACTTTGATACCCTCTACCCACAAAGAAAAAGGAAATTGTGTGGCATCCATGGATTTGTTTTCCCTCTAGAAAGTTTGTTCAAACCGATAAAAATGAGTTTGATATATTCTTTGAAAAATCACAATTTAATACATAGAATTAAAGGGAAATGGATGATTTCAGTACTCCAAGGCTAACCACGAAAGGTAGTGGATCTCACCTTAGTGGCATCAGGAGGGTCATCTATCACATTCCGGACTAATTCACTTTTAACAAAGGCTAACCATGAAAGCTACTTCACTAGGCAAAGGATAATAATAATTAATTTAAAATCAACGCCACAAACTGACAAACACCATGCACCACAGCACATATGTAATTTCATGAGATCAATATACATATATGTACATACATGGGGATCATAAATGAAAATTTTATTTCACTTTTAATCACGTACCCTGCACTTGCACTTGCAATTGGAGTTACCATCCAAATAATTTTCAAATTAAGAGAATTAAGTTGACCAAAAGACAGTTGGCAAAAAAAAAAAACAAAGCTTACTATCGAAAACATTTAGAAGATATTACTACCGACTTTTGTTATCATTAATAAATAATGAGTTCATATATGTTTTTTTTTTTTTTTTTTCTTTTTTTTTTAAATTACTAAAAATTGACACACCCATTTATTTCTATCAGCATTTCAATTCTCAACGTTCCTATAATTTCTTTGATAGGTACGGGACATTTCATACATTCTCTATGACTTTTAAAACCCTAGCCCATGAATTTGATGTGGTACACTCTTTTAAAGCAGTAAGGCAGCTAGCTTGGTTCAATTTTTTAAAGACAATTCTCAAGAAATAAAAGAATTTTAAGGGACAAGTTTTTTAAAATTAGTCTTTTTTAACTGAATTTTAAATAATTGCAACAACGCATGTTTTTATACAATTTTTTACTTTTCAAAATTTTGGTATATCCTGAATTAGGATCATCTCTTAATGCAATAATTTTAAATTGTTAATATAATAACTTTAAATTAAAAATATTAAATTATTAATTTAATAATATTTTATGTGATAAATGCACCACATAAATATTACTTCCTCTATTTCAAAAATATATATATTTTTTTAGAGGATCTGATTCACAAACGATTTTTTAAAAGAGGCATCTTCTTTGACACAGGCCGGACATTGTTGGTGGATGAAAGTATTAACTAAAGTTGTTGCATTGTGATCTATGTTGCACAGTTAATTTACTACCCTACCCTACCGGCCTCATTATCAAGAAGTAGAAGGTTGATTTTGTTTTCCCTCGATGGCGTCTTGCGACAATAGAAAGGTGGTGGAATCCCTTTTTATATTTCCAATACCCATACCAACATCAAAAATAAAAAAGGGTAGCACCGATAGTGATATGCCAGAGAAATTACAAAATTCTCCTAATTCCAATCCATCCATCTATCTATCGCTTTTGCAGTCCATAGATAGATAAGAGTCTTTTTGTAAGAAAATAAAATTAACAGAAGAAGTAAATTATCCTGGTGAAATTATACAGAGCATCATTAACATATTGGAGTTCAGTTGTTCAAAAAGTTCACTTGATTTTAGGGCATGGCTTTTGGTCATACTCATCGAAATCGAGTATATCAATGCACTTAAATCCAAATCATTGGGCGTTAATGCAACCCCTAATTTGCTTTGGAAGATATGTCTAGGTGTGTGTAATTCATTTACAAGGAGTGGAACGATCGTATCCTTCGGTAAAGCCTAGTTGTTATAAGAGAAGATTTGTTCCATGTCAAATTGGGGTATATTATATACAGACAATTTTTGTATCGGATTACGATATCCACCTGTTACACAAGCCTTCTTGCCGATCAGTAGAGAAGCTCATATTTGATTCCATCATAAGTAACTGTTTTTTTCCCATTCTATTCACGAATACTCCGCCTTATCAAAAAATAACAATAATAATTGGAAAATTCATTGCCAAATTTAGTGGTTCATTATTTTCAGCAGAATTTGTTTAACCTCAAGTTGGCTTAAGTGGACAAGTCATTTGATCATTGATGAATCAAATTTAAGAATTTAATACTTACAATTCGTTGAAATTGACTACTCACAATTCGTTGAAAGGGGAGGGGGTGCGTCAGTATCAACTAAAAATAAAAAAGATTAGATATTTTTTGTTCTTTAAAATAATACTTGATCTGTCTCAAAATATAATGTCCAACTTTTCAATTTTGACTGTTCCCAAAATAAATGTAAACCCATTCACTTAAAAAGTTTGATTTTTAAAAAAGAATGTTTAATCTGGAACGCCTCGATAGCCTAGTAGACTAGTGCCTCCCGTGAATCTTGAATTATCAGACTTTGATCATCTACATCTACTAACTTAATATTTAACATTTCTTGTTTTGAAAAATAAAAAATAAAAATTAGAGGAAAGAGGGAGTATGAAATAGACTTCTTTGAAGAAGCAATCTTAAATTATAATTTTCATGAGAAATTCGTTAAGAATTGACAGAGTATCAACAAAAGGCTTTAAAAAAATAAAGTAAATAAAAAACTTAATTAAGAAAAGTTCATTACACACAGTGACATAGAAAAAGAAAAATGACTTGCAAGTCCAAGTCTTTTACATGGGTCCCTTTTAATTAATTTGATACTCATTCCACTAAGAAAAAGAAAAAGAAACATGTGTGGCATGCGCCTCTCTCTTCCCCCAATCATATAAAAATTAGTAAAAAGGAGGCACCGATTCGACAGAAATGTACTCTCTCTCTCTTTCTCTCAAAATACTTGGAATCTAGACTTTAAAAGCATTTTTGTTTCTACATTCCACGGCTAACCATGTGGATCGCAGCCTAGTCGCATCAGGAGGACCAGCTCTCACGTTCACTTTTAACAAAGGCTAACCATGATAGCCACCTACCCAAGTAACCTGACTGAACAGAGAATAATAATTAAAATCAATACCACAATTACAAACTCTATCCACATAAAAGTACTTTATAGCGGCACCTTTGTAATTAAATAAATTACAAAAGGGCACCACTCCAAATCACTTAAACAGACAGGAAACTAGTTAGTTTAGCAGCAGACCTTTTATTCTAGGCACTCCTACTCCAGCAACAACCAACTCAATTATTCAAGCTAGCTCTTCATATATATACATAAGCCCAATAAAACGAAGGAAGATCAGTAATTATTCACACTCCATGGCCTGTAAATCACACGCTTTTATCTGCCATGTATTCTTCCTTGTGCACATTTTTGGTCAGCACTGTGCTGCAATATCAGATAACATAACAAAAGGTAGTAGTTTGATAAGTGAAGACGAATCTCTGATATCTGCGGGACAAAGATTCCAACTAGGGTTTTTTAACCTGACTGATGATCAAAGATATCTGGGTGTGCGGTACTACAATTTCTCAAATCCACCAACAATTGTTTGGGTTGCCAATCGAGATACACCACTGCCAGCATCAGTGACGGGGTATTTTGGGGTTGGAGAGCATGGCAACCTCGTGCTGATGGATGAAAAAGGAAATACTTCCTACTTCTACACCGATCCCCAAAGCTCTCAGCCTTATTCTGGCACGATGGTGAAGCTTTTGGATTCCGGGAACTTGGTTTTAAGTGATGCTCAATCTGGAAACACCATTTGGCAAAGCTTCGATCATCCAACCAATACATTTCTTCCAGGTATGAAGATGGATGAAAACCTGAAGTTGACTTCTTGGAGAAGTGGTGATGACCCGGGAACCGGAAACTTTACCTTCGAGAAAGATAAGGGAGGTGATTACCTCTACAACATCCAGAAAAGGTCAATCACATACTGGAAAAATGGAGAGTCAGGTGCATTCATCAGCTACAATGATATGAGTGCATCTGTAGTGCGTTTCTTATCTAATTTTACTACTAATACTTCTAGATCTATCAACTATACATTTGGATCAATTTCGGGTTATGATAATAGGCGGTTGGTGATGGATGATTCTGGGCAGATACAGTTGTTCAAATGGGATAATAAAATGAAGAAATGGTCTCTGATATGGTCAGAGCCGAGAGACCAATGCAGTGTGTATAATTATTGTGGAAACTTTGGCAGCTGCAATAGTAAGAACAGATTGGTATGCAAGTGCTTGCCAGGGTTCAAGCCTAACTTTCCTGATAATTGGAATTCTGGAGATTTTTCTGGTGGGTGTACTAGAAAGTCAACCACATGTACTGGGAGCGACGCCTTCTTGAATTTGACCAAGATCAAAGTAAAGAACCCAGACTACAAGTACCCTAATGCAAACTCTGAGGAAGAATGCAAAGACGAGTGCCTTCACAACTGCCAATGCTTGGCATATTCGTATGTTGTACCACTAAATTTGGTACGTGGTAGCAGCAGTGAGAAAGCATGCTGGATGTGGACGACCACGAATGGGGAACTCGGTAATTTACAGGAGGAGTATGCTGCTGCTGCCAATGCTCTCTGTTTGCGTGTCAAGGCTTCCGATATAGGTAGGCTTTCTGTTTCTGAATTTTTTTTTATTTGATCACAAACTCTATGGAACTCAAAAGGAAAAATTGCACTAGTGTTGCCCTCAAATAATGCTCCAAATGACCTCAGTTGTTAAGCAGTAACACGGGATCAATTTGTTTAAAACTCGGTTTGGGCTTGTTTTGTTAAATAAACCATCCAAGTTCAAGCTTGGCTTGTGAAAACTAAGCTCATGTAGGCTTTCGTGTGCACAATAAAAAACGAGGGCTTGTATAAGTTCATGATTGTAGGGGCTTGTACAAGTTCATGATTGTAGGTTCACGTTGTAGGGGCTTGTATAAGTTCATGATTGTAGGTTCACGAACACAAGCTTGTGTAAGCTCGTATAAGTTCATAAACGAGCCAAAGCATCTTGGACACAGCCCAAACCAAGCCTGAACTGAACCACAAATGAACCAGCTGAGCAGAGCCTGCACAGACTGAATCTTGGCTTCATTTGCATCCATCCCTTTGAGGTTTGAACACAAAACTACAAAATTAGTAAGGCCAACTCAAATTCGCACAAACTGCTCAGTTTTCAAAACTAATTACTAACTCTGTATTTGGCAGGATTAACAACCAGAAACTGTGACACTTGTGGCACAAATTTTATTCCCTATCCACTAAGCACTGGACCGAACTGTGGTGATTCCACGTACTTCAGCTTCCTCTGCAATTCCTTGACAGGCCATCTTAGCTTCCGCACACCCAGGAACATCTTCCAAGTCACTAGCATCAATCCAGATACAAATAAATTTGTCATTCAATCAAAAAGTTCTGAGAAGTGTGAGGCAAGAGGTTCAGGAGAAGAGCTACAGCTGAACGCATCACTTCCCTTTAATATCACAGCTGACTGGTGCTACACTGATCCGGGTTCTCGTAATTCTCATATACCCATGAAAGGATGGAATGAAATAGAGATTGCTTGGAAACCACCACAAGAGCCGACCTGTAATTCATCCAAAGACTGCAAAGATTGGCCTAATTCTAGTTGCAATATAACAGAAAATGGGAACGCAAGGTGCCTTTGCATTGCAAACTATCACTGGAATGGCTCTAGTTTAAATTGTACTCAAGGTGAGGTTGCTACATTATGCATGTCAATATTAAGACAATCGATCAGCCATTGATTATGCAATCGGAGAAAATCTAAAATGCCAAATAAAATGAAAAGTAATACTTCCTCAGTTTAATTTTATCTACTTTTTTGGGCATTCCTAACAGAATCATAGATGACCAGACTTCCTTTCTCCACATAAAAGTAACAAATTAGTCCCTTTTTTTATTCCAGGAGTTAGCAACAACACTAAGCAACCTGGGGAATCTGAGCATAAGGATGTGTCGGTTTCTTTGAAATCCGTGATTATCTTTGTCATTGTTATTGTTATTGTTGTGGTTGTACTCTTATGCAGCATTAGCTACATTATATACCGAAGAATTTTTGTGGCGAAAAGAGAAGGTAAAACTAGTTTTAAACAATGAATATACATGCATTATGCATGAATATATATATATATATATATATAGTTTCTTTCTTCTTTTTGCTTATTGTGTGTCTCTCACTAAGAAACTCGATTTTTTAGGTAATATTCCCAATAACAAGTTGTTATGTTTTGACTTCAGAAAGCAGACAAAGAATCCAAGGAAATCCTGTTCTTCACTCGTTTGATAGTGAAAAACGAGTCAAGGACTTGATAAGCTCAAGAGAGTTTGAAGAAGAAGATAAGCAAGGCATTGATGTACCTTTTTTTGATTTGGAAAGCATACTTACTGCTACAGAAAACTTCTCAGAAGCAAATAAGCTTGGACAAGGGGGATTTGGGCCTGTTTACAAGGTTATAATCCTTTTGGTCAATAAGTTATTAATATTGTTCTTTAACTATTGCATCACAATGATAGTGTGTTTCAGGGTAAGTTTCATGGAGGAAAAGAAATTGCCGTGAAAAGGTTGTCAAGCCATTCTGGACAAGGCTTGCAGGAATTTAAGAATGAAGTAGTGTTAATTGCAAAACTTCAACACAGAAATCTCGTTAGACTTTTGGGCTATTGCATCAAAGGAGATGAAAAGATATTACTCTACGAATATATGCCCAACAAAAGCTTAGATGCCTTCATATTTGGTTAGCCTCTATACTGATATTCTTAGACTTTTAGTGCATGCATATTACTATTTTTGTTTAACAGAAACCAAAGATAGCTTTACTAAAATTATGCTTTGCAATGGAAACCTTGCAAGATCCAACGATCTGCATGTTATTGGATTGGGAGAAACGCTTTGACATCATTTTGGGGGTCGCTCGAGGACTTCTTTATCTTCACCAAGATTCTAGATTGAGGATTATTCATAGAGATTTGAAAACAAGCAACATTCTATTAGATGAGGAGATGAACCCGAAAATTTCAGACTTTGGCTTGGCAAGGATAATGGGCAGCAAAGAAATAGAAGCAAACACAAACAAAATTATCGGATCCTAGTAAGTATAGCAGTCTTGGTCTGAGCATCAAAGCTAGTATTACTAAGTTTTGCAGCACAGATGAAGTCATCTTTTAGGGGAAAAAGGTTGTGACATATTTAATACTAAATGCTTTGAACATTTGATATAATGCAGTGGTTATATGTCTCCAGAGTATGCATTAGATGGGTTGTTTTCAGTTAAGTCTGACGTCTTTAGCTACGGAGTTGTTTTACTCGAGATTATTAGTGGGAAAAAGAACACAGGATTTTATCAATCTGAACAAGCCTCGAACCTTTTAGGTTATGTAAGTGCTGCTTATCAAAACTTTCTCAAACCCAACAATATTTTGATCATTATTGTTTAGTTAGCTTCTGATTCCATAACTATCTGACTCAGGCATGGAGATTATGGAGAGAGGATAAGACACTGGATCTGATGGATCAAACGCTGGTTGAATCATGTAACAGAAGTGAAGTCCTGAAGTGCATAATTGTTGGGTTATTATGCGTACAAGAAGATCCTGGTGATCGTCCCACCATGTCAAATGTACTTTTCATGCTGGGAAGTGAAATTGCAACTCTTCCAAATCCTAAACAACCAGCTTTTGTTGCAAGGAGAAAATTTACTACCACACCTTCTTCTTCTTCCAGTAAACCAGAAACTCTCACCAATAATGAGTTAACAGCCACTCTAGAAGAAGGCCGCTAGGGAACATTCTCTTTATCCGGAAATATCTTTCTATAACACTGTTCATTTGGTGTTAAGAAATTTCAATCTACATGTATATCTCTCTCCCTCTATGTCTGCCAACTTAAAGATGTGGTTGAGAATTGCACCCTTGTAGTATATACAGGAGACCTTGGGTCTCCTATTGTGTGTAGCAAAGCTGTGTATCAGTGAATTGTTTACAATACAAGCAATATTGTACTCAAGTTGTGTATTAGTGATGTAATAGCATTATTTGCTTCTTAGATTCAAGTCCCACCACCATTTCAGTCCAACATTTGGTATCAGAGCTTTCACTTTGCTTAACATTCAGGTATAAACTAGATTACCCATTTACTGTGTGTGTTTATATGTGTTTTTAATTACAGTACATTGGGGGAATTATGTAGCATCTTTAAGTTATACAGGCCGGAGTGGAGTTGTTCACAAAGTTCAGTTGATTTGAGGGCATGGCTTTTGGTCATTCAAATGAGAGTTAAATCTAATTGGACCTCGAGTTCTAATGCAACCCCTAATTTCCTTTTGAAACTATGTATGTGTAGGTGAGGTGAGTGTCTGTAATTCATATAGAAGGAGCGAGAATAATCGTACCTTTTGGTAGAGCTCAGTCTTCTTCTGAATTGGTCCAGAAAGCTCATCTTTGATTCTACCAGAAGCCGCCTCCTTTCCATTTTATTCAAAATTGCTGCTCTGTTTTGGATTACAACAATGGCCAGATCGAGAATACCTAACTCATTTGCTCAAATTTGTGGTTGTGTTGTTTGGGCACTGTGAGTTGTTGCCTTTGCCTTGTTTTATGCCCTTCATTGGGTTGGACCTCTTCTCATGGGCTGTTGAGTTTTTGTTCCCTGCTTGTGGGCTCGTATCGACTATTTGCATTCGGTGTGTATTTATTTGGTCCTTAGTTTTTTTTTTTTTTTTGGGGTATTGTATGGTTCATTCTTTGCCTTGCTGAGAAAAGAAAAGAAAAAAAAAAAAAAAATATATATATATATATATATATATATATATATATATATTGACATAAACACTAGATTTATGGTGAAATATTTATTAAAATAGTTCTGAAAATTTGTACATATATGCATGTATGATGAACGGATGTGAAAAGAGTCCTTTTATTTACATTCTAAATGGAATTTATTTTTTTACAAAAATATATGAAATAGGATTCTCGATCTGATATTTCAATCTTAATTATTATTTTTTTAAGTATTAAAAGCTATATTGGGGTTGAAACTGTCGCCATTTGTTTTTGTGTTTTTATTGGTGCTAATTCAACTTTGTCAAGTCCCAAATTAAGAATTTTCATTTTATCCATGATTCTCAAGAGCTAATTACATTAATAAGCTTCCTGTGCTGTGGCAACTTGATCTAACCTCTTAAAATATTTTATTCAATTTTTACATGGCAAAATTTTTATTCATTCTTTTTTAATTTCCTTTACAATTTGTTCGAGACTGTCAGAAGAGTTGGTATTATCCAACCCGCTTATAACATTATTTTCTAAAGCAAAACAAAACAAAGAATTTCATTATATTCACTTGCATAGAATTAGTATTTTGAAATTAAAATAATAAATTTTATTTTTGGTACATGGAAGGGATTATTTTTGACATGTAAAAAGATGTATATATAGAAAAGACATGAACAAACATACAGGTAGGTTGACTTGGAAGTCCTTACATGGTCGGTCCCATTTAATTAATTTGATACCCTTGCCGCTAAAAAAAGGGAAAAGGAAAGTTTGTAATATCCCCCTCTTTTTTACAAGCCCGTGGAAAAATAAAAAGGGAAAAATAAAAAGGGAGAAACTGATGCGGACAGAAATGCTCTCTTTCAGTTTTTATTAAATGTTAAACATTTGATATAATGCATGTCTTTAGAGTATGCATTAAATGTGTTGTTTTTAGTTAAATTTGATGTCTTTAATTATGGAATTATTGTATTTGAGATTATTTTTCTATAACACTGTTAATTCCGTGTTAAGAAATTTCAATCTACATGTATCTAATTCTCCCTCCATTATGCGTAGCAACACTGTGTATCAGTGAATTGTCTAAAATACAAGCAGTATTGTACTCAAGTTGTGTATTAGCGATGTAATAGCATTATTTGCTTCTTCAATTCAAGTCTGTAATGTCTGTGTTATGTGAGTGTGTGTGTGTATATATATATATATATATATGTAGTTGTGTGTGCGTGGTGTGAATTTAAAGGCAAATAAATAAATAAATAAATAAACAAACAAACAATTGGGTGGGACCACAAAAGTTTTAAGTGGTCATAAGACCACATTTTTCTTTTTAGCTATGTAATCTCATTCCTTCTCTCCCGTCTCTGTCCCGTGTCTTCCTCTCGGGTTTCTTTTTCTTTTCTTTTTTTCACTTCAAGTTTCAATTGTTGATTTCTCTCTCATTACTTAGTAATTTTGAGTACCGTTTGCGGCAAAACGGAGAGCACGGTGAGGTCTACACGTGTGTACCAGCAATTTCAGTTTTGAGCAACCTAGAGAGTCCAAAAATTGTGACCCATTTTGAGAGTTTGTAGTGCAAATTGGGGTTTTGCATATAATAGAGGTAAGAGTCTCTAATTCTCACCACCTTGTACTATTGTGAGTCATTCTACTATAATTATTGTCAAGCATGATCAATTTGATTTATTTGCTTCTTAAATGACTTGATTTTGTATATATAATATGTGATTATGTGAAATTGTTGAATTGTATGAAAGATATGCTTGATTATTGGATTCTCTATATGATTGTGTTGATAAAATTACTAGAAATTATTCATGGAAGTATATGAAAATTCTTTTAGAATTATTGTAAAGTATGCTTAATATGTTAATTGTCATGCCTAAGTGTTTATTATCTTGCTAAAATGACTATATGGATGCATGCTAAATTGTGTAGTAGAAATTTCTTTAATGTCTTGGAAATGGTAAAGCATGTGACTTGCATCCATAGCATTAGGTATAAAAGAAAAAGGGTACAATGATTTGATAATAATGAAAAAGGGAGTTTTTGCGGAAACTTTGATGAAACGGTTTTTGAGAAAAATCCGGTTGCCGCGGAGTCACCAAAGGGCTGGTGTGTTAATATAGCCTAGAGGGAACTAGGGAGATTGCCCTAGCGTGGTTGAGCTATCTGGGCCTCAAATGACGCTGCAGAGATACCAAAGGTCAGGGACAATAGCCAATCATTCTCTCGTGTCGCTGCGGAGTCACCAAAGGGCGGGTTATATTAACAGTTTGTGAAATGATGATATTTTCTGAAAATGGGGAGTGACATGCATAACATTGCATTCATGGCACGAAATTTATTTGTTTTGAACTTAGAATTGATATTGTGTTTTCTCGGCTTTGCATGATCCCAAATTCCTATTGTCTTATTCCTTGTTTGGATTCACGGGGATACAAGAGGTGTGTCTTAGGCATCATCTACTGAGCAATTTTGCCCACTCCTTTTATTTAACATTTTTTTACAGGAAACGGGAAAGAAGTGGCGGATGACATTCTACCATAGACTTAATATGGATTAGGAGCTTATTTTGTTATTTTTGTACTTGGGTCACTCTATTTTTGTAAGACTAAGCATAATGTATTTTGTACGACGACTTATGGACTTTTAATATTTTAATTATACCTATGGGTTGTAACTTTTGTATGGGTTGTCTAAACGTTGTAAAACATGGACATTCAATATTAATCTTGTATTTTGAGACTGTAATTATGATACTTGGATGATATAGTATGTGGTTGTACCACCATGGAATGTATTAGATGTTTATTGTGTTGGGACAGGTTAAAAATGCTTTTAAACAGGTTGTTGTAGGACGATTTTTAGCAGAGGTCATGCCGAATTTTTTTTTTTTTTAAATTTTGGTATCAGTTAGGGTCGTTACAAATTTGGTATCAGAACCTTGGTTCGAAAACCATTAGGACGATGGATAGAGGCCTACATAGGGGTTGTATGGGAAGTCGTTTGCATAGTTTATGTGATTAATTGTTAAAGTGTTTTGCTATGTGCAAAAGCATGCTTAACTGTTTACTTATTTACGTGTTTATGTGTTTATATGCTTATATTAGTGCGTTCATTGCATAGTATTACATGCTAAGTGTTAGTATAGCATCCTTTTATGTTGAGTTGTACACGGTTGGACCTTAGTGTTATCGTTATTGAATCACTTTATTTGTTTTATAGAACGATATCACGGCGTGAGGAACCCAGGGAAGTTGGCCCTAGGCCAACAAGGGGTGATGTTTGCGAGAGCTTGAGCTCCAATCCGGCGGAGCCAGTTAATAAGGACACACTTCTTCGGGATTTAATTGCCTCAAGAATTGTTCCTACAAGGAGGGATAATGTGGAAGCACCCGTTGAAGAGGGTGAAAGTCCGGCGGAACTAGAATTGAATCGCTTGTTGCAGAAGGCCTTGAGGGCCACCATTGCTACTCAACCGCAGCTGATACCATAACCGGTAGTGCAAGTAAAGGAGACGCCAGCACGGAAGTGTCTCAAGATTATTAAAGGGTTTTCTCAGTTGATGCTAGTGATGTTTGAAGGCGGTGCAGATCCCATGGTAGCGGATGACTACATGGAGCAAGTTGAAACTCAATTAACTTCTATGGATGTGAAGGAGGATCACTTGAAAATCATCCTAGCCACTTACAAGTTCACAAAGGATGCCAAGTTTTGGTGGAAATCGATCACAAATCAATATAAAATTGAAGAGATGAGTTGGAATAGATTCAAGGAGCTGTTCTATAAGAAGTATTTCCCCGCCTCCAATAGGTAGGAGTTAAAGAATCAGTTTATTGGCCTTATCCAAGGCAATATGTCGGTGACGGAGTACGAGAACAGGTTCACCTCACTCTCTCGCTTTGCTCCAGAGATGGTGAGTAATGAAGTTGATAAGGTTCGGAAGTTTATCTCCGGACTTGACTACCAAATGAGGCCGTTGTTAATAGCACAGGGCATCAAGGTTTATTCTAAGGCAGTGGAAAAGGGCATTAATGTTAGAGGTGGAGGCTAAAGATAAAGAAGTAAGAAGGGAACAGTGGAGACAAAAGAGGAATGTAGGACCATCTGCAGAGGGACCTTCAGGGAAAAGGAACAAGGGTGGTTCATTTCAGTTTCAGGTGTAACAGTCTGCACAACCCTCTCTTACCATTCCTATGCCGGCTGGATCTGATAGGAGTGCAGTTATTTGCTTTCAGTGCCAGCAGCCTGGACATTATAAGTCGAATTGTCC